GGGGGGGGAATTAGCTCACCTCATTAACATTTTGTCCCCCGCAGGAGTGCATCGTGGTGTGCGTCATCTCGCTCGAGGAGGTGAACGTGACCCCCGAGATGGTGCCGTACAGCCAGTGCCGCGAGGTGCGCACCGTCACCTCGCCCAGCAGCAACATGGACAAGATCACCATCGCCGCGTCGGCCGCCATCTGCGGCACGGTCGTCATCGCCGTGATCGTGTTCGTGGCGGCGAGCCGGCGGCGCACGCGCAAGCTGCACACGCTGCAGCAGCACGGCTCCAAGAACGGCATCCCCGCGGGCGGCAGCGTCGGCGGGCTGGGGCTCGGCGGCGGCCTCGGCCTGCCCGTCGGCTGCTGCGGGCCCACGCCCTCGCCCGCCGGCCCGCTGTCCTCGCTCGCCACGCTGAGCGCCTTCACCAACCACAAGGACTGGGACCAGGTGTCCGTCTACAGCAACCGCAGCATGGGCCGCGCCCCCAGGATGTACCACGTGGAGCGACAGGGTGAGTAGTACGCGGGCACGTCGTCGTGCGCGAGTTCGGGGAACGAGGCGGGGAACAAGGAGTGGGTCGGGCTCGGGTGAGAGGGAGGTCCTACTTTGCTCTCTCACTCACCCGAGAACTCCTCGCTTCATCTTCCTCGCACTCGCACAACCCGGCCTTGCCACTGAGTGCGCTGCGCGGGGGGAAGGTCTGCACCTAGCACGAGGTAGACCGTAGACAGCACCATCACTCTGGGGGTGTACTGATAATTACTAAATACTGGGAGTAGATTAGCTTATTTTTTAATATCAATTGCAGTATTGCCGCACTATTTGCCAGGTATTGACAAGCAATGGCACTTCCAGAAGAAAGGTCGTCAAATTTAGTTTTAGAGGTTTGCACCAATCAGTGTTGAGTTATTTCTCGTGGTAGTGTCAATAACAATTTTAACTGTGCACATTTGTAGTCTAACAAAAAATGAAAGGAAACTCAGTGTTGTGGTTGTGTATTTAACCCCCCAAAAATGTTTTTGTTTGGCTGGAAGGTAGCACTGCTTTCCGGGTCAAAAATTTAAGCTACCTATTCCACAGGCTCAATAAATGCTGGATGTGCTGCCGACGATGTTCGAACCCACGCTTCTCACTTCCCGAGCAAGCCTAAGACACGCTCCATCGCAGACGGCCAATCGCAGCACAGCTTCTCCAATCACTCTGGTCGCTACCTGTCCGGCAACTCCTTCGCCCCTGGTCTCGTAAACTCTCCGCAAGGTGCTTGACCTTAACTGCTCACTGCATGCTAGCTTACTCTTGCTTGTTTTGTGTTTAGTATGTTGCACAATTATTTTTGAATGTGTAAAATATTCATAGATTTAGTATATGCAAAAGATACACTAACAAGATAGATTAGTGTGCTTCTAAGGCTTTGGGCCAACTTATCGTAACCAATTGAAAGTTAAGAAATAATTATTGGTATATGACTTCTCTCAACCGCAATAAACTAATGGTATCCTCTCACTGTTTCAGAACTACGTCACTCTCGACAGTCACTGGCTGTTTCTGACCGTATGTCTAGGGTGAGTTACCCTGCTAGCCATGCAACTCACCACCAACCTTCTGTGGCTTCATCAAGGAGACAACGACCGCGCTCCCGCACTCGTGAGTCCACCACCAACCAGTCTCTGGCCCACAGTCACGCCCCCAGCATGACCAGGCCTGGCAGTCGGTACAGTGCTGCAGGCTCAACGCATACTCTCAATAATTACTGCGACACATCGGATAACTGGACAGACCATGACATGGACATCTACATGGCACGTAATCCAACAACTAGGACTGGGTTGGTGCCTCTATAGCATGTAACCGCCGGCACGCAGCAGCAAAACCACACACAACCACCCAGCAGTGGTGAAGAAAGCGACAATGGTTGGTTAAATCGTGTCAAAGACATCACACAGGGAAATAGAACAGCTGTTGGGTCGTGGAGTTACCGTCAAATTCACTGATACAGGAGGTACTTGAAATTATTGCATTTTACCTTTGACTCTTAAAGAAACCAAACAGAGAAAAATATTTAAAAAGTTGCACATTGGGAATAAAGTAAGGGGAAATGGATGGTGGCTCTGTCTGTGTGTGGTTTGGGTACATAAGAGTGCATATGTTCACATATGATCAGAGAGGAAAGAGCGAGTTTTGGATTAAATCCCATCTCAGCTCATAGCTGTGTGCCGGCACCCTGCATTTGATGCCCAATTAATGATGTTAGATAGATCACGTTTTGAAACCAAGCTAAAATTTCTGCATTTCATGGTTTGAGCATTGGGGTAACATGGGCCATGCACGTTTCAATTAGGTTTACGGACAGCAGAGCCAATATGTGCCATGGTTCTGATAGGAAATGGTTCAACTGCAGGCTCCTAAGCACCCCTGGTGTGCGGGAATCTGACTGAATAATATATTTCTGCAGATCATTAGCATTAAAGTCTGAGAATAAAAACGAGTCATGACAGCAAAACTATAAGAGGGGGACTATAAGAATGATACCAAAGAACTGCTCAAGGCAAAGGCCTTCTTTCATTATTATTTTTTTTATCAAATCAATTCGAAAAATGACACTTTACTTTTTCATTATATAGATATATACGTACGTATGTCATGGTTTATGGCTAGAGCTAGGTAGGTGGCTGAACCTAGAATTAGCTGGCTAAACCAAGGGTTGACCGGGCTAATTTAGTGATCTCAGCTGTAGCCACTTTCACTGCTACATTTTTCTAAGTGAGATAGGTGGAGCTTACACTTCACTTAAACCTAGAAATGCACCGTAACTGAGGGATTCAGCAGTGCAATTCTTTTAAAATCTGTTTCGTTCTTAGATTTCTGTTCGTTTTTCCCACAAGATGTGTTGTCAGATGCATTTAATGATGCATCTGACAAATCAACAAGAGCAATTCCAAATGTCCCTTGAGCACATCATCTGGAACAAATGAACATACTGCTCCTAATCTCACCAAAATTTAAAAACAAAAACAAACAAACAGAGAAACAAATTAAAGAAAACCAATAAAAATAAACAACAGCAGTGTTCACTCTCTCAAATCTGTTGCATTTAGATGTTACACTAATGTGTTAGCAAAGCCTAACTTCCTGAACCTTCTGGACCTTGAAACAGTCAGCACAAAAGTGGCTATACCTAGGAAACCTAATTTACCTGGTCGACCCTAGGTTTAGCCAGCTAATCTTGGGTTTAGCCGCCCACCTAGCTCTAACCAAACCATTACATACACATATATAAAAATATTAAGAAGAATAAATTGCTCTTTTTCAAAATAAAAGAAAACAGTAGCGCTAGAGGGTTGTAAAATCTATTTTTAACATCTAATTAATTCGTTACTTTCTGATAATGACTCTATATACATACCTATTATTAACTCTTATATTCACTGTTTGAGTCTGGTAGCAGAAATCATTAAAGGGTTTTTCTTTAAGGCAAGCACATCAAGAGATAAGATGACCCCACTGATACATGTTACCGTGAGTAACTCACTGATAAATATTTCAATTGAATTTTACGACTTATTCTCTGCAATAAGCTCCTGAAGTTTATGAACAGGGCTTAAAGCTGTGTTAATAGATGTGTGCTAAGCAGAAGTGCAATATTGTTAGTCAAATTAAATTATGTGTAAATATTCTGATAGATGATATTTGCAAATAAAATTATTAGAGCATAAGAAGCTATTGATAGAATTTTAAATTGCTAAAAATACCATGACATGACATCCAACACAACGTGATGATGACAATTGAATTTGAGTACTTATTGTTTACTTTGTTTACTTAACTAAATCCTAAGGACACTTTACCAGCACGTGCAGTAGTTAGAATAGGGGGGAAGAAAACTATCGGACTGACTTGAACTTGTAACAGACAACCCTGAACTAGGACGGCACATCATTTATCAAAATCCAATTTGTGTCTCTAATTTCTAAATGACAGTCTGTGGTACTCTCTGTATATATTATTATATAGTAATATATAGTAATACGTATGAAGGAAAGTGTATTGATTCTATGTTTATTTAAGTATTCTGTTCGCATCAGTAGCATTGGTGCACACTTGTTTTAAAGATCATTTGTTAAGGAAATGTAATAAATTTAAATTTGTTAAACAATCATGTTTTAAGTCTGTAACATTATAGTGTTTGTAAATAAAGTGTGAATTTTTGTTGTAATGTATTGTAATATAAGTAGTTTAATCTAAGGTCTTGTACTGCCAATGAAAAACTACAGATAACATTCACTAGAATATTTTAAAACAAAGAAAAAGTTCATGGTAGTGCTTTATGAACTGTTCTTGAACACATAGAATGTTTCAAATGCTTGTGTGTCTCAGATACAAGAAACTCATGACACTGTTGATTTTGCACTTGCCTTTTTTTGAATCTGTAGAGCCAGTATTTATATACCTATGATCTTTTTGTAATGAAATTCCATCTCTTAGTCTGAGATAAATGTTTGTAATAAATTTATAAAGTAAAGAATTTTTGTTCTTACTCCCTGAAATCTACTTCCATTGCCCTTTAGGCTGCAATAAAGATAGAAGTTACTTTTCTTACTCACCCTGGTACAGGAATTGCTTGCTCCCACCGGTAGCACATTTCTTCTGTAAACTCAAACCACATGGAAGCCGCAGCAGCAACACCGTCTTTTGCATAAATTAATGGGAGCAGCAAAGCAAGTCTCCAAACAAGGCTTTCTGGGGGGGCAGATTTGACACCATCCAGAATTTTTGGCTAAAACATAAGAAGTAGAGTTTTAAAAATGGTTTAGGATTAAAGAGGCGATTGAGGTAGTGGGAGATTGAAAGTAATTTTCCAACATAAAAATAAACCTTCATATGAGACTTACATGTTGTGAGCTTTGAGTAGATTTGGAGGAGTCTTGAGCATCATATGATTCATAAGGCTCTGCCTGAATGAAAAACATACCTGTTATTTCTGAGAAGAATTAGTAGCTAAAGAATGTAAATCATCATATACGTACTGAGTTAGGATCAGCATCCGGAAAAAGAAAATATAAATATTCTTGTAATCTTGAACTAGGAATAGCACCTTGTTTCTTCTTATTACCAGCACCAGAAGTAGTGTTTCCAGTTAAGACACGGCCAAACACTTTTGAAATGGTAGGCACCCTGGACTCTGTTAAGGCATCAAGAGACTGGACAAACTTCTTTGAAAATTCCACTGTAACTAAACATCAAGGTACAGATACATTAAAATCAGTAGCATGGAATCCATGAGACAATAGATTCAGTCATAAACTTACAGGGGGTATGGGGCTCCATTGCCATTTTACAAAGCGATGAAAGACACAAGGACAACTTAGGTGGGTTAAGGTTCTCAGCCAATTCTATCTCCAAAGACCAGATGTGTGCTTGCATGGGTTCTAAATCGGAATAACTTTGACTGTCTACAACCATCTGATCTGTCAACTGTGGCCATGTTGCTAATAAATGCAGTTTGCTGTATAAAGATTTCCAGAAAGCATTTTAGATGGTAAAACTATTCTTAACAAAGAAGGATAGTAGAATTAATTTCTTACTTGATAGGATCTGATGCTAATCCAAAGGGGAGATTCAACATTCCACTTTTGTTATTTGTAACAACATTATAGCTTTGTAATGGATTTAACATCTTCAGAGAGTATGTTAGCCTTACAGCCAATTCAATTGATGGTAATTGTTGTCCTCTGCTAATTTTTGATTTGAAAGTATCAAGTAAACCTGAAATTTTTAGATATTTTTCTAAAATGGTAGACACAAATTTTAATCAAACAGAACAGGCGTTTTCAAATGGCCCCTTTTGATATCAAACCTGTGAGATATTTGCAATGCTGAGGAGTTCTCTCTAGATGAACCATTTCATAATCAGCAATAACATCTTTTCCTATGCAGGATCCAAGATAGAAGTGTTGCCAATCTTCCAGAAGCTGTACAAAGGCTGGAACTTCACTGAAAACAAAGGAAAAAGCATGTTTCAATTATACCAAAGAAATAAAATGCAGTTGTTTATTGTAATTTATTCTCTTGATAAAAAGGTAACTCACCAGCCAGAGGCATTTAGAGCAATTGTTAGACAGCTAAGGGGCTTGGTTTCGGAAGAAAACTTTGACGACTTGTTGGTTTTTAAAAGTAGAAATTCTCGAACCCCATACAATTGTGCAACTCTAGGACAACTAGAAACCTGAAAGAAGAATGACATCAGCCGGACAATTTTTGAATTCAAATATCCAAGTAGTATGAAGCAAAGTGAGGGAAATATTTCCAAACCGTGACAAAGTCGCCTGCAACAGACATCATGTCAACTAAGGCCTGAGGTGTGAGAGAACTGTCGGTGTCTTCAGCGCTGGGTGTGACACCGTTTTTCAAATTCCACCACTGTAATAATATTCGTTCACCTGAAAAGAACAAGCATAACATAACTAGGCAGAAATATTAGTAAACTTCCTTTGAGTGTGATTAAAAAGTTAGAAAGATTAAGTCTGTAAAAATAAATGACAGTTCAATGAGGAAAAAGCAATGGCAGAATACATTATTTCAAAACTGGAACTCATTGGACATCATGAGAAAATGTAAAGTTTCTTTTGTTAGGAAAGTTACACACAGGGCAGCATAACCCTCTATATGTGCACCATAACCTTGTTGGTGCGACAAAAATGTACTATAAGTTTGAGAACAGCAAAAACGATTTTTTTAAATTCACGATAACTTGCCTTCGTAACTAATATGCTCTGTCTTTGTCTCCCATTCTCCTTCTAAATCTCCTTTCTTAATAGGATTTCTAACTTTAGGTTCATTCAACTTCCACTTAACAATTATCTTTTCGATACGGTCAACAAACTCCTCCCAGCTTGAAGCTGTAGTGAAGTCCTGATGATAAACATCAGGATCATCAACTTCTGCAATCATTTTTTATCAAAAGAGTAAAATACACGATTTTGACAGCTGTTTGTTGTTTCCAAAGCTAGCGAGGTCGTCTGCTGCTTGTTTACAGCAATCCAGCGCAGTCCTGCCAACAGCACATCATACTATTTTCACTCCTCAAAGTTGCTTGTCGTCGTACATTTCTTTTAGCCGATCAGAAAAGAAAGGAAGAATTTCTATGTCAGAGACTTTAAAAATGTAATGAACGAACATTTCCGCTAATGCACTTTTCCTAAACGTTTCATGAACTCTGGTTGTATAAAATGGAGCAACAGGTGTCATTGTTGAATTTGAATACAAACGCAATAACGACAGAAACGTGTCGGAAAGCATTTTATTTTTCATGCGTGCTTGCTTCAAGATGAATCCACCATTTACCACTAAAAAGGTGAAAAACCAATAAATAAGAAACACTTTCCACAATCTTAAAAGAAACCACATCATTGACATTGAGGTAATTTTAATGTAGTACCCTGCCCTTGAAAGTCACACGAACAGACCCGCACACCACATCCCTCGTGTTTCGGAGCAAGCGCCAGTGTGGGCGGGTTTGCCTAGCCTACCCACTCCGCCAGTAAGGCGCCATGGCCCCTGTGAGTAGGCAAACCCACTCGCGTCGGCGCGTGCTCCGAACGCTCCGGAACACTGTGGGGGCAAGGCATCGAGGTCGAAACAAGGTCACGCCAGCTAAAACCCGAACGGAATGGCAGGTCCCGAGTGCCTCGACATCATGTCGCACCTGCACTCGTTCGAGTCGATCGCCAACTTCATGCACGAGCTGGAGATGGACGGGCGGCGGCGGCCGCCCCACGGCCCGCGCCAGAGCGCGTGGTACGCCAGGCCGCGCGTCGTCTACTCGTGAGTATCCGCCCATCCCCGACATCATCGACAGTCCGACAGCTGTTTAGGGAGGACGACGGCGCCCTTGTACCAGGAGGCGGAGGAGAGCGACTCGACCTTGCTATATCGCCCACGCGAGAGTGACGAGTGTAGTAGGTATCGACAGCGCTATAAACAGCCCGTGTCGACAGCCCACCCCCCCGCGATGTGTGGGCCGGGCTGGCCGGGCACACACACGAGCCTCACTCGCTCGCCGACCCTCCGGCCCGCCCCGTGGGCCCGCCGCGCCACTCGACGCGACACTTTACGAGGGGTTGTCCGACACCGCGCCGTGCCCCGCCGCCCGTGCGACACTCTCGTGTACGTGGGCCGCCCGTCCTCTGCGCGACGAGGGGGCACGTCCTCCGGAAGGACACCCTCCACCTCGAATCCTACACGCGGGGAACTGTCGTCTCGTGTCACCCGCCCCCTCTACCGTGCGAGCGTCTACTTGTTGAGGCCCGGCGTCGTCGTTGCCTGCACGACGAGAAATATCCAAAAGAAAAAAAAAACTGTATTGGATGCAGTGGAGCTCAACATTATTTGAACGATACGAGGGTGATGGTAACCGTGCTTGTGATGTTCTCATCGAGGACGAAGATTTGTTTGTGACGACGTCATGGTGGCGGTGTCACCGTGATTGTATCGTGTCGGCATGAGTCCGCGGCTCACGCACCTCCTCACGAAGTACTGAAGCATCGCGTTCCAGGTGAAGTAGGGGCGGTCGACCCCGTGTTCGGGTTTCGCCCGCGGCGGCGGCGGCGCGCCGAGCACGCAACGCCCATCCGTCTCGTCCACGCGCAGCTTGTCCGCCAAAGGCCCGACAGCCCCGGCGTCAGCCTCGCGTCAGCCCCGACAGCCAGACTAATGGCCCAACGAGTGGGCGCGAAAGCCCTGAGCGGAAGCGCGCGGGCAGGGTATTAGTCTGCGTCTGGTTATTCGACGCGCCGCCGAGGGGCGCACGAAAGGCGGCACAGAGCAGCCGCGCGACGGTGGCGAGGGTGGTCAACGCGACGAGGGGCGCGGCCAGCGAGGAGCTCGTCGAGGACACGACAACATGGACGGCGCGCGGAGGGCGGAGAGCCTGTGGGCCACCCTGGACTTGCTGGTGGGCCCGGACAAGAAGCGCACCTCCAAGGACGTCCTGGAGGACGTGGACGAGTGGCTGGACACGGTGAGGGCACGCATCGCCGACGCCCGCTTCGAGGTCGCCGGCGAGGGGGCGGCCGCCGCGGCCGCCGCGTCGGCGGGGGGCGGCGTCGGGGAGAGGGAGGGCGGCGTCGGCGAGGCGTCGGCCGGCGGGGGCCTCGAGGCGTCGGATCGGGGCGGTGCGGGGAGGTTCGGGGGCGCCTGGGGCCGGCGGGCGCTGGGGGCGCGCGGGGCGCGGGCCAGGTCCGCCACGCCCCAAGGCACGCCCAAGACGGCCGCCAGAAGAGGCGCCCTCGCCTCGGCCGGGCCAGTGCGGAGCAGCTGTGAGTCCAGCGCGGGGCTCCTCAGTCCGGGCCTAGCGCCCGCGCCCGCCGCCCGGATGGCGGCCTACTTCAACGAGCGCGAGTCCGAGGACTACCACCCGGCCGGCGGCGGCGGCCAGCGCGTGCAGTTCAGCAGGCGAACGTCCTGCAGCAGCAACAAGGCCAAGAAGAGCAGGAAGGACCCCGGCGACATGACGCAGATGCTCATCTGCAGGTCAGTCCGCCTCTGGACGCTCATTAGGGGCTTGTAGGCCGCTTCTACTGGGTTTTTACTCTTTTTAAACGACAGCGAAAAAACTTTCCGGCGGAGCGTGCCAGGTGATGGACAGGTTCTGCCTGCTGCAATTAGAAGAATTCCTCTTCTCGCCCTTCACCCTTTCCCAGCGCCACACCAACCCAACCCCCTGACCGATAGACGCTCATTAGCTGATCAGCACATGCTCAGCACTGCCCTATCCCACTCCCGCCCTGCCGGCCCGTGCCGAGGTCAAAGTCAGCTGCAGCCACGACCTCGGCCCTGACTGCATCCCCCTGTCACTTTACGCCAGAGTCACGTCACTGGCTCGGCGGGGGGCAGGGCTGCGCCTGTCTGTATCGGCAGGCTGTCAGGTTCCTCCAGTCGGTATAGACACTCGAGGGGGCGGGAGTGGGGTGGGCGATGGAATTTTCGACGTACTGGGCATCACGAAAGCGCAGCGGGCGAACTGATGTTGTATTTTTCCATGAATTAACAAAGCGAATACATAAAAATAATCAGCGACATAAAAACCAAGTAATCAAGTTTTACAAAAACTAAACTGTAAAATACATTTGTAGAAAATAAATTGAGCTCAATAATGTAGCAGCGTATTTAATTTTCTGGCAGTGAAATCAAGTTTGAACTGCGTACTATCTGCGTGTGGACGTCTGCTACCAAAACTGGACGCCTGCGTATGGGCGGGCTGGCAGTACTTGTGTGAACGGCAAAGAGATACTTGAGTTTATCCGAACTAATTGACAATACTTCGTGCAATATCACGATACAATGGAAACCGTGATAAAAAAGAAACCATGCGGCGATAAGCGCGGGGGAGCCTGGCGGCGGCGGGGTAGGCCAACACTCCGACACGGAGCGCGGCGGTCTGGCCTATACAGGCCCACCCCGCAGGAGCCCCAACCCACTCCGGGCCGTCATGGCACCGCTACTCGTCTTGTGCGATGCGATTCGGTATTACAGTTTGGGCGTGGTCGACTTCACCTTCATGCCTTATTTTTTGTGTGGCAAAAGGCCGTTAAAATTCTGATCGAGTCTCTAAGAGGAGGCACAATCGCTGAGCTGCGCTCGTGAATGGTGTAGTACAGACGGCCCGACTCATTGTCGCCGTACTTCGTTTAGTCCGGTTTTGTCGTCCGTTCAGTGAGCGTGGTTTAATCATCGATAGAATTTTTCATGTCTGAGTAGCTAAAGTGCCACTCATAACTTATTGCAGAACACCTGCCTGGGCCGGGAGGCCATCTCTTTGTTGCTGCGCTCCAGCTGCGCGTGGATGATGCCGGCCGGCTTGTCCGTCGGCTGGTACACCTCGTAGTGCTCGAAGCCGCCCGTGATGGTGGACTGGAACTTGGACAGGTCCAGCGAGTTGTAGTGTATGTTGGGCATCTGCACCTCCATGCGCTCGATCTGAAGGGAGGGGAGAAACGAGAAAGAGAAAACGTGTCTGGGTACGAGCGGGTACGAGCCGGTGAGAAGCGAGCGCACGAAAGGCAGCGAAGGAAAACGTCTTCTCTCGCCACCCTCCCGGCCCGGTCACTCCTCCGCTGTCATCAGCAGCATATACTCTACCTCGTCCACCCGGTCGAGGCTCATCTTGGCGGCCAGGTACAGCGTGTTCTGCACTGACGGGGATAATCTGCCCTCCTTTGGCTCGCCGGCGAACGTGTAAAGGATGCACTCCTTCACTGTATGCCTGCTCAGTAAATCAGTCAGCCTTTCGTTAATGTGGTGGTCCTTCAGTTATAGATATTTGGACACCTGGCCACAGCCAGAGAGGAGAAAAGGGGGAGGGGGGGCAAGAGTGCCAGAGCTGGGGGCTGGGGCTGGTAGGAGGTACCAGGAGGTATCCAAGTAGTATTCTCCAGGAATGTAGAACCACCAACCACTAATCATTTACCAAGCTCAGAAGCAGAACGGTGTGGTATAAGGCAACGCCTCTGCACTAACAACAAACGTGTCAACCGCGTCAGTAACATTCTGAACAAGTGGCGTAGTGGCGTTGGCTGTAGACCGCTCACCAGACTCTGTCGAAGTCCGCGCTGCCCGTGTTGTACAGCCAGGAGGCGGTCACCATCGTGCTGAAGATGCGGTCGTTGGCGTCCGGCAGCGTGCGGTACTCGTCCTGGACGAAGTCGCGGAAGGAGGACTGCGTCGTCTTGAGCACGCGGAGGCCGTGGAGCTCGCCGCGGATGCGCGGTGCCTCTGCGAGGGAGACGGAAAATGATGCATTTCAGAACGCAGTCGACGAACATGTGGATATTCGGACACGTACCGTTTCTACGCTGGCTCACGGTGCACGACCGATACGCCACGGGGCTCAGAATGAAGGCGTGGTTGTGTTCCTGGCCCCCGCTCAGCATCCTGGTCCAGGGGTACTTCTTGATGTGGACGGAGGCCTCGGTGACCTGAGGGTACATGTCCAGGAAGTGGCCGCACAGCAGCAGACTGAAGTCCTCGGGGGACTGGATCTGGGAGGCAGAGAAAAGAGCGGTTCAAGCATTTTGGGTGATGTGATGATGTGGCGTGCACCCGTGATAAAATGGATCCTGTGGACACAACGCGTGCGCGCCGCGTGCGCGCCGCGTGCGCATTTTGTGCATATCGCGTGCACGGGTCCATTTTATCACGGGTGATCACCCGATCACCGTCCCAGCTGCTGTGGTGGCTGCTGACTCACCCCGAACTTCTTGGCCAGCACGTAGACCGTGTTCTTCTGCGAGTCGGTGGCGATGACGTGCTTGTTGTCGCCCCGCAGGAAGTCTTCGCGGCTGTCGAGCTGCAGGTGCGTGTTGACCTCGTACTCGCGGATGCTGTGCCGCAGCCCGTCGCGGCGCACCTTCAGGATCTTGACGTAGTTCTTGCCGTAGCCGTACTCGGCCAGCTCGTAGGCCTCGTTGGCGTCCTTGTCCTTGCACGGCGCCGACGACCCCGCCGGCGTCCTGAGGTCGTCCGGGAGGAAGGGCGTCTCGACGGCCGAGGAGTACGGCGGCTGCAAGTCGCAGGAGTCACCGATCTCATCGCGTGTCGGCGACATCTGAAAAAAACAAAAAAACTTGGCCTCTTGGCCACAGATGTACCTGAAGCATGCGTGAGGCACATTAACGGGTAGGGCAGTGCCTCATCGAATGACTGAACTTTTGTTCAGATTTGCCGCCACTAGGGCAAATTTCTTTTATGGACATCCATTGTCAATAAACACCAAGCGCTGTACTTACATCTAAAAGAAAAACGAGAGTTAAGTATCAAAATCCAAGTAGTCCCACCCAAGCTACTTACTTTGGCGTGGCGTCGATGTCCGCTCAGGTCTTCCCCTCCTGCCTATCGGCACCGAAACGTTGCCGCGTGCATCTTTATATACCATTTTTCCTGAACCTACAGTCGTCTAATAGAGTCAGGTTTGGTAACGCTCTGTTTCGGCAGCGGGCGAGTACTGAGTGCAATAAGTGTTCTCACCTTCCTTACAATTAGTGCGACCTTCGGCGCCTTGGTCCGCGCGTGAACGAGGCAGGCGTGTGGCCGAAGTAAAATTGAGTTAGAAGTATGTTGATCATCTTACTCAAACTGGACGGGAAATAGACTGTGGTTGTTGTCACATTGGTTGGAATAATATAGTGTCATTCGTTACAGTGTGAAATAGTGTGACATGCTCTAAGTCCATATATGATGACAGAGCGAACGGCAAGGGTGCGTCACGTTCTAACGAATGTGACACGCTGTTCTAAGCAATGTGACATACTGTCAAATTAATATTTCAAAGTGTTCGACAGCGTTCAACAGTAAATTCGGACACTTACTTAAAAGTGTCCACAGCTTCGTGGCCAACCCTGAACACTTCCAAGTGTTCACCTTACTGTTAAACACTTCACATTATTCAAGTTTTCAGTCAAACATTTTAAAGTGTGCAACATAGTGTTTGGCATTTGTATGTGCACACCAGTTGAACACTTTCTTCTTTATTGCATAGTTCCACATTTGATTAAACGTGACGTCAGGGTGTTTGAATAACTGTGGCGGGGTGGAAGCGGCGGGAGCGAGCGAGCGCCTGGCGGCAGGGGGGTAGGCCCCACGCGCCGTCAGGGAGCGCGGCGGGCTGGCCTACCTCGCTCCTCGCAGGGGCCCCACCACCGGGGCCGCGCAACAGCGCACCCACCCACCCCACCCGTCCGTCCCTTCGTACTTGGGGTCGTCATTAATGTACCGCTACTATGCCGTTCAACATTCCTGCTCAGCTGTTGATGAATTTATGTAGAATGGCGATGAGTCGTTCAAAATGGCTAAAGGGAAGGCTTGGGTAAAATTTGCGACTCAGAAGTGAAAAAAGAAAGAGATAAAAATTTCATGACACAATCTAAATAACGCGAGACGGGGGATAAAAT